TAGAAACAATGTTGCTTCACATATCAATTCCATGTCCCTCTCCCTTTCCCTCCCATCTTCCCACGCCCTCCCACCAATCCCTCCAATATCTACAGGGCCCTTTTAAAAGTAGGGCCACTCCCTCTACTAGAAACCTTCCCTGGTCACAGGAGGTCACTTTTGTTAGGAGTCTTGGCTGGGATCATCGTAAATTCCTGGGAGTTTCCCTTGTGCCAAGTTTCTACCTGACTCCAAAATACCTATCCTCTATATCAGGACATCTCTTTTGGTACTCTTCCCCACCATCCATTCCCCAACATCCCCCTTATGTTCCCATCCTAACTTGTCCCCAGTCCACCCAGGATATATTTCTTCAGTTTCCCCTTCCAACAGAAACCCATGAATTACTCTTTGGGCCCTCATTGTACCTAGCCTCTCTGGGTGTGTGGATTATAACATGGTTATCATTTACAGCAAATGTACACTTATAAGTGAATACATACCATGTTTGCTTTACTAGGTCTGGGTTAGCTTACTTAGGATAATTTTTCTAGTTCCATCCATTTGCCTACAAATTTCCTGATGTTATTGTTTTTAACAGCTGAGTAACATTCCATTGTATAAGTCTACTACATTTATCCATTCTTTTGTTCAGGGATATTTAGTTTGCTTTCAGGTTCCAGTTAATATGAATAAAGTTGCTATGCACATAGTTGAGCAATTGTCCCTGTGGTATGATTTCACACGCTTAGGGTATATGCACAAGAGTGGTATAGCTGGGGTCTTGAGGTAGATCGATTCCCAATTTTCTGAGTACCCACCCTATTGATTTCCAAAGTGTTTGTACAAATTTGACTCTCACCAGCAATGGAGGAGTGTTCCCTTTACTCCACACCCTATCCAGCATACGCTGTCATTTGTGTTTTTCATCTTAGCTATTCTGATAGGTATAACATGGAATCTCAGAGTTATTTTGATTTGCATATCTCTGAAGGTTAAGGGTACCTTTGGGTAAACTGGGAATCAAGCTTTTTCCTATCTTCTTTTGTAGTACTTACTGGGCATTGAGCCTTGAGCCTTGAGCCTTGTGACTCGTATATCCGTGAGCTGCATGTCTAGAAATAGACAAGAGGCCAGGGATAGATGGACAAACTTTGTTTTCTTTTCCCATTAGAGACAGAATGTCCACCAATGAACCACTACTCATCTTCCAGTGTTTTAGGAATTTAGTTTCCTATATGTGTTTTATGGCCTTTCTCATCTGTCTCTTTTACAAGAGACTTTAGTTTTCAACCATCTATGTAAGCTCATGCATTCATCTATCGATTTGTTCAGTGGCCTGCTTCAAATAATGTATCTTCCCCCATTTATTAAACATAGATTCCTTCCTCAAAAAATATATCCTGATTATAGTTTCCCCTCCCTCAACTCCTTCTAGACTCCCCCATTCAGATCTACTCCTTTTCTGTCTTTCATCAGAAAAAAAGGTTTCTAATAGATGACAACCAAACATGACAAAATATAATAATATGAATTAAAACTCTCATATTGAAATAATAAATGGCAATCCAACAGGAGGAAGAGTCTGAAGAGCAGGCACAAGAGTCAGAGACCGCTTGTTCTCACACTCAAGAGTTCCATAAAAATACTAAGGCAACAACTATAATATATATGCAGAGGACCTGGTGTAGACCCATGTAGACCCTGTACAAGCTGTTTTAGTCTCTGTAAGTTCATCTGTGCCTTGCTTAATTGATTCATAGGGCCTTGTTCCGGGGTTCTCCATCCCTCTGGATCTTACACTATTGTTGTAACTTCCTCCACAGGGCTCACCTTACATATCTTAATAAAACCCTAATACTGGTTGTTAATTTCAAAGTCTCTCATTTTCCTCTGCTTTACTCCCCATCAAACTTGGCTCACATCTCATTTGCAAAGTAATTTGAGAGTGTGTTATAAGAGTTCAGTGGGTATAATCAGATATCAAACCATTTTCCAAAGCACGCCACACTCTGAACCAATGATGTTGGATCAGAGAGATTCTAGATGCAGAATGTGACATCCAGAATCCTTCTGTGGAGAATAAGACTGCTTGGTGTCAGGGAGTTAATATGGGGTTGTTCCATTGGAAGCAGGATATAGCCTTCAAAAGAAGTTATGCTAGTTTTGGCAGGCCAGTTTCCAGAGTTAGACCTAAGGGACAGGGTTTTACCAGGGGAAGTATGCTGTAATTTGACAAAGTACTGGGGTGAAACGAAATGGTAGTACCTGGATGGGGTAAATCTTTTGAAATCTAGGGCCCAGGTTAGGGGACTCCGGGAAATCTCAGCATGAGTCTCAAAGCTTGTTTGTTTTTTTTAAAATAACAACTTCCTTATTCAATTCTGTTTTCAGTACTTTTGCTTAAAGATTCTGTTTTATTTTGCCAAAATATCACTGAAAATGGAAATGAACTATGAGAGCAGGAACAGTGCAGACCTTTGTGAAGTCAGACCAGTAATCAATTCTCTAATTTGCCATTTCCTAGCCATGTGATCTTGGGAAAACTGTCAGGTGCTATTAGTCTCAGAGTTTTTCTCTCTAAAAGATTTAAACCATCTTGTAAGATTTGGGATGTATAATGAATACTTACAAAGTACTAGGCACATTTGTGTGGTGTATAATGTATTTTTAATAACTATCAATAGTTTGTGGTTTTGGAAACAAAACTCAGTAAATTTTCCTTATTAATAATATACATATTATTTAAAGCTATTTATGAGAGAACTTCCCCCAAGCTGTACTCAGTTCACAGGACTTTTGTCCTTTTATGGTTCTCTTTTACCCAAATCATTATTTTCATTCTTAAAGTTGACCAAACAAAAGTCAAAACCACCTCATAATAAATGAGCTCACAGTCCCAACAATAGCAAAGTTGCCCCTGCCCCACACCAGTAGCAGCACTCAGGAAAGAGGTCCTGTCCTGTAGACAGAAGCCCTTTTCTTGCCAATCACCTGGGCTCTGCTGCGTTGTAGTCCCCAAATAACACACAAGACGCTGTATTAATTATGAAGCTGTTGGCCTTGCTTGTTTCTTACTGGCTAGCTCTGACTTAAGTATTTATCCCATAATTGTTAATCAAAGTATTTCTCTTACTGGAGAAAAGTTCTGGACATCTTACTTCTCTGGTGGGCTACATCCTGACTCTCTGTGTTTCTCCTACCCAGAGTCCTCCTGGACTCCTAGCCCCACCTATCTTGCTTCCCTATTGGCCAACAGTGCTTTATTCAACAACCAGTAAGAGATTTCAGAATGACATCTCCCATCACTGTCCCTTGCCTGGGCAGCACTAGATTCAACCCCCACAGCCAAAGCTGTGAGCATAGGAGAGCTGTCCCCACTACTCATCTGTCATTCAGTGGTGTGGGCAGTGGAGAGATGTCCCTTTACCCCTTACCACTCACCTAGTGCAACATACAAAGGAGCTGGCCCTCCCCCTTACCAGCTGCAGCACTCAGGAAAGTGGGCCCTGCTTGTCATCTGGGCAGCACAGTAGAGCTGACCTGGTTAGCAGAAGCACAGGTGAGCTGGCCCTGAGGGTTCACGAGTTCTATAGCTGGTGACATTGCCCTCACCGGCCATGTGGTGGTGAGGTGAGACAAAGATGCCCTCCCCTACTCACCCCTGCCACTTGTGGGGGGATGAGGGAGCTGACCCTCCCCCTTACCAATTGCAGAACTTCTGAAAGTGAACCCCGCACCTCACCTGAGCAGCACAAGAGAGTTGAATCTATTGACAGGGTTGCGGGTGCCCTGAGAACATGCGCATGGGAGATCTGGCCCTGGCCGTCTGCCATATGGTGAAAGCCATAGCCTGCCATATGTGGTTAGGTGGGAGAGCTGGCCCTGAGGTGATAAAGCAGGAGAGTGAGAGTAACCCCTGGACCTTGCCTGGACAGCATAGTAAAGATGGCCCTCAAGGTATAGTGTGGAGGAACCTACCCTGAGGATGTGAAAGGAGCAATGGCCCTGCCCCTTGTTCATATCAGCAAGGGGTGAACCAGCAAGGGCAATGCCAGAGCTCTGCTCACCCTGGTCGTGAAGACAGGACAGAGCTGGCAGGCTGACCAGCCCTGCCACTACCATGCCCAGAACCAGCGTTGTGGGTTGGCCCACCCCAATAGCTACCCCATCTGTGATCTGCTAGAGTACTGGAAGAGGCCAGTCCTGCAGATCCAAAGCTGCAGGATCTCCATGACACAAGGCAACAACAGAATATCCCAGAGGGCAACAACAGAATATCCCAGAGGAGTCCCAGTGAGGGCCCAGCAGTGATGGTGTAGCAGAAACCAGAGGCCTAGAACCAGACCAATAACTCTTTGCAATGAGCACTTGCAAGTAAAAATAGGATAAAAATGTTTACGTGACTCACTGTGTCACACTGCAGCTTCCATTTTTCCTTCTCTTAAATTTTATTGGGGTGGGTGAATACGAAGGGATGGAAAATGAATGGGATTGAGATGCATGATGTGAAAGACAGAAATAAATAAAAAGGAAGTTAAAAATCAAGAAGTGAATGACCTTACAGTGGAGTGGGTTCTCTCAGGTCAAGGGAAAGTCTGCAGCCTAGATAGTTCTACCCACCACATGAAGGCAGTGTCATCAGATTTCCCAGAAATGCTTGCAGGTGCTTTGTACGTAATACTTAGGTAATACATTATGTTCAACAGCACCGGACAAGAGTTCAAGTCGCATTCTATAATTGTCCCTGCACCCAGTGGAGATTCCTTTCTTGTTTAGCTGTGTTCAAAAAGAAGTTCTCTGAGCATGTTTTCCACCTCAAGTTTTTCTCTCATGTATCAGACACGCTGTCTGAGAACATGGATCCCAACCACCATCTACCTTGACAGAGGGTTAAGCACTCACAAAAGGATCTGTGGTTCCCCAAAGGCCCCAAATGCCCTGGCTCAGAGCATTTATACTTGATGGCATCCTTTGGAATCCCACCTCCTCAGTCTTTGCTTTTCAAAGAACAGACACTGTTTGCTGGGAAAAATGAGGCAGTGCACTTTATTAAGCTTTACTTTTCTCACGCATTCTTGACTAAATCAAGTAAGCAAGGTGCATATCTTTAGTTTCACAAAGCTAACTAAAAGGACACAGAAATACTACTATTAACCATTTTTTTTACATCTTTCTTGCACCTATTGATTGCATTTTACTAATGGAATCTTTCATGTGTCTAAGGAGAACTCAGAAGCAATGCTATTCTTCCTCTAGATATCAAAGCTGCAAATGTCAACTTGTTTCTCACAACAGCAAAATCCTTATTCTGAAACAAATAGCAACAAATGTGTGAGCAATACGGTGAATGACTCTAGACCCTGAAGAGACCCTAAAAGAGGAATAACTGAAACAGCACAAAAAGGAAAAAGAACCCAAAGTCTTTTCTGCTTGAAGATTCAACTGCTACCCTTAAATGGTGTGAAGAACCAGCCTGAATTTACTCAGGGCCAGAGAAACTGCTGGGCTTATCCCCAGAGCCTGAATTGTCTGGGGCAGAAGGATTGGCATCTGTGGCAAGTACAGCCTGGGCTCTCTCCTCTTCATCTTTCAGAGCTTCCATATACAAAGCTGCAAAGGAAGTAGGGTTACTCCCAGAAACCTTGCAGAAAAACTGCAGGACTTTCATCTTGCTGGTTTCAGCATGGGCCCTTGGACCCCACAGGAACTCGTAGCATAGAGGATCACTGCCGGGTACCAGCTGGTATTCCAGGTACTTCTCTAAAACCAAATCTTCAGTGATGAACTTTCTGGGATTCCCACAGATGAAATCATGTTGGTCAGGATACACACCAACTATATTCAGCACCTCCCAGATCTTCTTCTCAGGAGCTCGGTTGCCTTCCATGTAGATCACACCAAGAATAAGCACCAGGAGGCCTGTCTTGGGTATGCCCTCGTCATCGCTCAGCTGCCCATCATAGGTGAGGTCAAGTATTTTAATGAGCTTGTAGGAGTGGTTGAAAGCATCCACTTCCTTTACTTCAATGCCAAAAACCACTTCCATGCATTCACAGGCATGCTTGAAAACCAATTCGTAGTAGTTCTTGTACTCTTGGACAACATTCTTCAAAATTTCTTCTTTTGTGACAGGCTCATTTGCCATATACTTGACACTCAGAAACTTCACCACATCTGTTATCTTCTTCCGTAGCTCACTGTTGAGCAGGAACTTGGAGAACAGGTAGGCCTTTGATGGGCTTTGATCTCCTTCTGCTTCACCACCAGAACCTTCATTTGCTTTTCTTGGTGGAGTGGCTTGGATGGAAGCAGAGGATGAACAGGCTTCCTGGGAAACCCCAGCAGCAGGTACCTCCTCTGGGGTGCCCACATCCGTAGCCCCAGGAAACTCCTCCCAGAGCTGGCCCTCATTCTTTTCTAGGGCCTCAAGTTCTTTCTCATACTGCTGCTTGTGGGACATTATAATTTGTTTTGCAGGTAACTGGCAGGACAAAATTGATGGAGAGTGGCCTGAGGGTGAGACAAAAATGTGAGAATATTGTAACTTGTTAGCAGAGACAAAGGCTTTTTCAATATTTATCTTGGGTGGTTCTCTTGGGTCTCATGGGTCTGCCTCCTATGAACTCTCTTGTACTCCAGGGTTTCTGGATATGAATCTATTCAATAATTATGCCCTTTGTTCCTGGAGCCGCCATATAAGGAATTCAGGGGAGGGGTGCAGGTCACAGACCACAAGCAGAGTTGGGTGCTATTCCTAGGACTAACTGCCAGGTCCACACAGTTATGAAATGGATAGGCCCTCTTAATAGCAGTAATTAGGGACTAGGTTCAGTTGTTCCTGTTAACGGGATCCTCTTTCCATCCCCTAATTGACTCTGGCAAGGCCTGAGACAGATGTCTTTGATAAACTGATTCTAGTCCCTGGCACTACAGGAGGGGATACTGGCACAACAATTCAGTATGCTAGAAAGTAGGGCCTCTCAGAGCAGGGGCACCACATCTCTAAGGGCATGGGGATTCTCTCCATCTTCATTCAGGATCCACACACTGACTGCTAACAGAAATTGTCTCATTCCTTGGTTTACCAGATAGCCAATTCTGCTCACTTAGGACAATGCCTTCCCCTCTCTAAAAATAATAAGACAAAACTAAAAAGGTGAAACATATAGCCACCCCTGCTCAGTATCCTTTAGACCTTGGCAGTAATGGCACAATCTAGTATGTACTTGAATTGGAGGCCCATTAGTCCTCCCTCAGAGTTATCGCTTCTGGCAACCTGAATTTCACCATCTCAGATTCCACCCATGTGAAAAAAAAAACCAAAAACCTAATTGCCAAAAAATAAACAACCCCACCACCTTTGTAAAATACTGGATCACATGGAAAGGGAGCCTCATATAGACATGTCTGTCTGGGGCCATGTTGGGCTAAGAGAATAAGAATACTTTTCTATTTTTATTGAAAATAGTTATTTTCATAGAATACATTCTGATAATGGCTTCCCCTCCCTTGTCTCTTCCTAGATCCTACCTTCTAATTCAATGCTTGCTTTCCCTCTCTTTTAAGCAAACAAGGATAAAACAAAATGAACAAAGAGAAACAGGATGGGAAATGTATAGACATGCAGGCATGCATGCATGCATGTACACATATACAGAATGTACTACATGCACATCCACAAACACAGCACACACACACACACACACACAGCAAAACCCATAAAACCTCAAAATCTGGCTAGTGGTGTAAGCTTTTAATGCCAGCACTCAGGAGGCAGAGACAGGTAGATCCCTGACTTCAAGGCCAGCCTGGTCTACAGATCGAGTTCTAGGAAAGCCTGGGCTACACAGAGAAACCTTGTCTTGGGGGAAAAACCACAAAATCGGGAAAACAAAGGACCAGTGGAGGGAGGGGCACACGGGTGGGAAGTATGGTAGTGGGGGGATGGCGAGGGGGACTAGGAGCAGGACTGGGGTGGGGTAGATGGGATGGGAAAGCAGGGAGCAGAGTGGTGGTGATGAGGGAGAGGGTTGGGGAGCTGTATGGAGTGGGAGGGTGGGAGGGGGAAGGGGAAGTAAGATGGGGTGGGGGGCAGGAGCTATATGGAGTTGAAGGCAGGGAGGGGGATGAGGAATGAGACAGGTGTGAGGGAGAGGGAATGGGATGGGAGCCTGGCGGGGGACAGAGGTGGGGGTAGGACAAATAAAACATTATGAGGGAACAAAACCTCAAACAACAAATACCTCTGAGTTTGTTTTGTGTTGGCCATCTACTACTGCAGGGCTCCAAGGGGCCTGCCCGTAAGCCTGGTTTGGATATCTGGGAAAATGCCCTTAGAGAAACTAATATTTCATTTGCAAGAAGTTGTTATCCTAGGAAAAGCTTCTTGCTGGAAACAGGAACTCGCGTCTACTTCCCCATCTCAGCAGTGGGACACCACCTTCCGGTTTGGATTTGTACAAGCCCTATACTGCCTTCCATAAGACACTGACATGGAAGTCTACCAGGTGAGGGCCATGACTCAGCAGTTTCTGAGAGCTCACTGCAGGGTGGGTTTCGAGAAGCTATATTCTGTCCAGGAAAATTCCCGACTCTACTTTGATGTCCGTCCAGCACTGTCTGGACTTCTATGGACAGGGGTAAAACTGTCAGAGACACCACCTCTCGGATTCCAAAACGGAAACAGGTATAAACCAGATCATTACATCACAGCTTCCCCACCAGGGTTGGCACGAAAGGCGTAGTGAGGCACAAAGAAGGCCATTTGTGAGGAAATGTTTATATCTACCTGTAACTTTTCCTATATCCTCACCTTCAAGCACCACGAGGACCACAATTCCTCAGGCTGCTGAAGAGCCACTTCGCGCACCGTCCTTCGACTATTCTCGGGCTTCTGAGAGACAAAGCGGAAGTCAGTATACGTCACATCCACTCAAAGCGGAAGTCTGTATATGTCACATCCACTCTCTGTTACCGGAAGCTGTAAAACAAAACTTACCTCGCAGCGGTTTTCACTTAAGGCAGGATAGATTATGGAACAAGATAAGGGCTCAAGAGAAAGGAGAAAATAGTTTTTAAGAAAGAGGGCATGGTGTACTAGAACACGTGATGGTGATAAGCTTGTGCAAAGGAGTATACTGCGGGTCGAAGCACAGAATCGGAGAAGTGTAGCAAAGGAGTAGTCCTTCAACATAAAATATGAAAGCGTAAAAGGAATCACATTATTTTGCATCTTGATTCTTTTAAAATGCCACTTTTATAAGTCAAAACTATTAACTATCTCCTTAGAGGAGGTCTTCATTAATAAGACATTATTAATAAACATAGTGACTATTTTTAAAAAATAGCCTTTATTCTTAGTTCTGTGTCCTCACTTCTGGGTACCTTTTTATCTCTTCTTCTGCCGGAGGCCACACCCTTCAAACCAATCCCCTGGCTACACTAAGAGCAGCAATGTGAGAATGAGGGGCAGCCCTTGTTTGATAAGATTATATGAGATTCGGAAATAGCTATATAGGTTTGGGTGGGATTTTTCTCTCATTCAGGCTGGAGGCTGGAAGCATTTGTATTTCCTCTAAATATGGCCTATATTCCTTGCCTTCACAAGGTCTTCTATTTCCGTGAAACACTTGTCAGTTTCACGGGACTATGGAGTTTGTTGACAAAATGCCTGTCCTCGAAAGCCCTGCCCTAACCTTCAGAGACAAACAGGGTGATGTTTCTATGCCATCCCCTCGTAAGGAATTCTCTTACCTTGGTTCACGGTCCAGAGTGCCTCTATACTGACTGAGTCCTGCTCTTCTTAACCAAAGACTCTCACTTCCCTAAGAACCTAAAACTTTCTGCAGAAGTCAAGGTCCTCAGCCTCTGACTTACTTTTTATTTATCTGGCATCCAGTTACTGATGTCAATGTGAGTCTTTATTCACATTGTTTTGTTGGTGGTGTCTAGAAAAATAGTTCATTGTTGTTTGTAGATATGGCTTGCAATAATGTAGCTCACTTCTTAAAACATGTGCCTGTTTATTCCTTTAGTTTCTATATAGATAAACTTCTGCAATTAATAGCAGTACTGTTCATTTCTAAAACACACATTTTTTTCTTTATACTTTTTCTTGCTTTACTACTAGGTAGGCATTCTATGATACTCAATAGCTGATGGACAGTTCTTTTCTTAACAGTTAGATTCTAATAGATTCACAAACATAAGCATTAAAAGGTTGAGATATACTGAAGTTAATCTGCCAATAATTATATAATAGAACTATATTTCAGAGGTACACATGAGGTGGTGTACTCTCTCTCTCTCTCTGTGTTAATTAAACTCAATATTTCTTTAGATAAACATTAGTATTATTTAATATTTTATGTCACAGGGAATTGAATTTAGGACCTCATACTTATAAGGCAAGCACTATACCACTGAGCTACCAAACTACATTCTCAGCACTAAATGCTTTACTACGTCTATCTAATCTATCTGTCTGTCTGTCTATCTATCTATCTATCTATCTATCTATCTATCTATCTATCTATCTATCTATCTATCGTGGGCATCCATGAGCACATGAACCATAATACACATGACAATATCAGAGAACAGCATGTGGAAGTCCTCTTCTTCTACCATGTGGACCTTGGTATCAAACAGAGAGCCAGGCTTTATAGCAAGTACCCTTACCCCCTGAGCTATGGCACTGACCCTTTATTTTACACTATAGTAGAGGTAAATAAGTATCAGAATGTGTTACTTTTTCCATGTCACCCACATGACTAGTAAGGAGCAGTCCTTAAAGAGTGTTTCTACCTACTATGTCAAATGGAATTATAATTTTTATTATATAGTATGTTTATTTAAAATAACAGATTAGGGCTACAGAGGTTGTTCAGTTATTAAGAGTGTTTTCTACATAAGCATGAGGAGATTGGGGTGTGGATCCCAGCACCCATCAAACAAGCTCTGTGTGTTCTTGTGAGTACCTATAGCCCCAGCACTGAGGAGGTAAGGGGCTGGAGGATCCTGGAGGCTTGCTGGCTGCTATCCTAACCAAAAATAAAACAAGCTCCAATTCCACCAAGAGACCCTGTCTTAAAAGAATAAGATGGAGAGAGACAGAGGACACCTGATGACCCCTTTTGCCCTCTGTGCAACAACCCCAGTGTATGCATGCTACACAGACAATCTCTTATACATACAAACAAATGACATGAACTCATACTATTGCTTGTTCATAATAAAGTAACAGATAGTATATATTATACTTATTTTGAAGATACAATGTTAATACAATCTACCTGAATTCATAACTAAGTGGAAATATAAAAGGAGCTATCCAGTAGCACACAGACAACGTGGATCATGTTCATTAATAAGATGAACAATTAAAATCTAACTGGCTATCTAAAGTAATACAGTGATCAAAGGTCAGTAGACTGCCTAGCTGTATACCACAATGATTCATTAAATAGTTTATAATCAGAACTTGGCACCCAAAACCTTTTTTTTTACTTTAAGAAGACTAATACTGAACTTCCAAAAATCAACATACAATCGAACTGGATTAGCAGACCTCTGAGCCATGTGATCCATTTGATTATAACTTCGGAGTGAATAAATGGGTAGAAATCATGCGAATTTTGTTTTGGTTGCTTTTCCTTTATAAACAAAAGGAGACTTTCCAATAAGTGGTACTTGTTATCAGGGAAGAAGGTACTATTTCTCAGCTCTGACATAATGCTAACCTCATGAGATATGGCAGTGGACAACCTATAAATAGATTCTATAACCAAATTAATTTAGGGAATGCTTATGCTACGCTCTGCTTGCTATTGATTAATCAGAAAACTTAGAATATTCCAGAATATTTTGAGATCTGAGTAATTCTTTAATATGTATACATAATCAACGTACTTATTTCAGTGTTCTTGACTTATTTTACTATAAGGCATTTAATTGTAGCATACTAATGGAATGTATTGTGACTTTTCATGCCCATGCTAACCATGTATTAATCACAGACTTGCCAACCTGCTGTATTGGAAAAAAAACATTAGAAGCCATAAAGGCTTCAGATACAAGTCCACTTTTCCTTTTTATTATCATGTTTGTTATACTACCTAACGTCTCTACCACAACTACAGAGAAGCTAGGAAACAAGCAGGACCCAAAGAGAGACATACACGGACCCCTGAGAAGAGTAAAGGAACAAGATCTCCTGAGTAAATTCAGAGCACAGGGGAGGGGAAGGGAGGTAGGAGAAAGAGGAGGGGAGAAGGGGAGGGGGAGGAGAACATGAAGGATCAGGAAGGACAAAGAAAGAGAGCAAGGAAAGAGATACTTTAATAGAGGGAGCCATTATGGGCTTAACCAGAAACATGGCACTAGGGAAATTCCCAGGAATCCACAAGGATGATGCTTGTGGATTCCTAAACTTAAATGTCCTTCCCCTATAATGAGATTGATGATTATCTTAACTTAAATGCTATAAGATTCACAGCTAAGCATTGAGCCAAACTTCTGGGATCCAGTTGTAGAGAGGGAGGAGTGATGAGTAAAGGGTTCAAGACCATGCTGGGAAAACATACAGAAACAGCTGACCTGAACAAGTGGGAGGTCATGGACTCTAGACTGACATCTGGGTAATCAGCATAGGATAGAACCAGGCCCCCTGAACATGGGTGTCAGTTGAGGGGCTTGTGCAGTCTATGGGGCCTCTGGCAGTGCATCTGTATTTATCCTTAGTGAATGTATGGGCTTTGTGAGTCCATTCTTTATAGAGGGATACTCTCTCAGCCTAGATACATAGGGAGAGCTAGGTCTTTCCCTAAATAATGGGACAAACTTTGAGGATCCTGCATGGGAGGCCTCACCCTCTCTGAGGAGTGGATGAAGGCTGGAATGGGGGGATTGTGGGGAAAATAGGAGGGTGGGAGGGAAAGGGAACTGGGAGTGGTATGTAAAATAAGATTGTATTTAATTTAAATAAAAATTAATTTTAAAATGTCTATTTTGCAGTGATTCTTAACATTAAATGAAACTGCACAACAAATGACTCATACAGATGCTCAGGACTATATGCAGCTATTCTTGGTCACTCACCATTGAAGTGTCTTGCCTTCATCAACCACTGTGTATCTTCTCTGAATGCTTCAAAATTATATCACAAGACACACAAGAATATCCCTTTGTTCCTCTATATTATACTACAATTTTATCATACTTTTTCCCTCTTCATGAGACTGTTCTGTGTATGAGTCTGCTCACAATTGCCCAATTATCAGACCAATTTCAGTCACTTCTCATTTTGTATCAAATAAACATATAATAAGTGTCAAGTCACAGAAATATTAACAAAAGAGCCATGCTATGTGTCCTTCATTGTTGCTTTTGTTCTAGAAGAAAAAGAATACAACATGTGGACTTATAGTAAGTACTGTGTCATAAGTGATTGACTGAGATATATGATGGTGTCACTATATCTTAGGAAAGGGAAATCTAATTCTACTTGAAAATGTGACAATGCTTTTGAAGTCATGCTGGCTCTGTTAGTTAAGGGCATATGCAAGGGTAGTTAAATAATGGCCATTAACTGCTTTTCGTTATTTTATTAAAATGTAAATCCGGTTTTTATTTTTATTTGTATGAGTGTTTTGTCTGCATGTATGTTTGTGCATCATGTGCATGCCTGGTGCCTGCGGAGGCCAGAAGAGGGCCCTGGATCTTTCTTTCCCTCAATATATGTTTTTACTTAAATTAGAAACATGCATGCTTCACATGTCAATCCCAGCTCCCTCTCCCACCCCTCCTCCCCCTGCCCCTCCACCAGCCACCCCAGTCCCCCACCCAATCCCCACTGTGCTCCCCAGGGAGGGTGAGGCCCTCCATGGGGGGATCTTCAGAGTCTGTCATTTCATCCATGGCAGGGCCTAGGACAAGCGGGCATTGAATCTTGTAGAATTAAGTTACAGATGGTTGTGAGCAACAAAGTGGATGCTGGGAACTGAACTTGAACCCGAGTCCTCTACAAGAACAGAAAGTGTTCTTAACCTCTGAGCTATCTCTCTACTGCACCACAGATAACTAAGGGAAAAATAAGAGGTGGTAGTCCAGCTTTTAATGTGAAAATAAATTCTGAATATATGTAATCTTGTTTCTATGAAAATTAAGTGACATTTGAATGCATTCCAGGAAAATTAGAGCAAATTTTACATTGGCTTTTTTGGGGGGGGCATCTTTTGTTTGTTTGTTTGTTTGTTTTTTCCGTAGCTGAGGACTGAACTCAGGGCCTGTGCTTGCTAGGTAAGCGTTCTACCTCTGAACTAAGTCCCCAACCCATCAAAGCAATTTTTATACCCATTTAACAGATGTATTCCTCTATCATCCATTCTGGATTTTCATTTCAGATTTAAGAATTTCATTGTATTCAGTGGAATTTAGGAATTGTCATTGTCTTGTTTACATGTTTTTACTTCGGAGTGTTTACAATATTAATGAAATGGAACACAAATTTGCCATGTTAAATATGAAAATTTCAAAATTTCTCATTTTGATTTCGTTGTTCCATTTTATTTTGTTAACTCTAAGAAGGAACTCTGTACTTTCCAAGGATGGATATCAAAGGATCACCATTTATTAATGAGTTATTAAAAAGTTATATTTGTCTTAAAAATAATAATGGGCCTGAATATTTGGATGTCCTAAAAGAAATTCCAAATTAGATGTATTCAAAACTGAACTATCTTTTTCTCTACAAAGGTTCCCAAAATCTAACTCAATTATTGAAGACAGGCCTAGGATTCATGGAGATAGCCTTACAGAAATGAATAATTCCCTAACTCTGCCT